ATTCAGATTAAAAAAACAAATTAGTTAATCTACATCTATCACAGTATATTGAACAGTTCACTTGCTCCACAAGTTCTTATTAAAAAATAGTAGTTGCTTAATAAGAAAACATATTAGTCTTGGAGGATATTTTGCCTTTTGGAGATTCAGATTTTCCTAAACAAAAATGTAACCCAATTTTTCTCAGCAATTTAAAAAGTTTAATCAGCACAGAAACGGAATGTTGTTTGGAAACTATGAAAGTATCAAAACTACTCAATAGGTATCTCTATGTAGCTCTTGGGCTTAAATCATCATATGAAATTAAGTTCTGAGCAGAACCATGATACATTTGTGTTTGAAGCATTGCACAGTACTATGGGAATAGGTGCTATTATAACATGGGACAAGAATCTGCTGAATGCCAAACACCAATGCAACCTTCAGAGGAGCAACTGTAAGAATCCCATGTGAAGTCTGGAGATTTAGAACTTCAGCAGCTCAGAAAGAACATGCAGCTTTTAAATCAACTCAGACATTGGAAAGGGTAATTCCACCAATAGTAATCCTACGTTTTAGATACATTTACAACAAATATTTCAAAGTATGATAAGTACACAGAATGGTGCAATTAAATAAGCTCTTTCACTGGGGGTAAGCAAAAATATGTGTAAAAATGATAATGTTTTAATTGACTATGTTTCATTAAGAACTTGACCTGCATATATATACATATAACACATAAAAATATATACAAGAGATCCATATTTTAAATTTCTATGTGCATAAATAGCAAAAATATGTGCAAAGTATAAATTTAAGGCCATGACATGAAAGCACTTTATCACAAGTCCTTACTTGTGGCATTATCTACAGAACTGCAGACAACTGACCAAGACATTTGTCACCCAAGACAGAAATACGTAAATGAAATATGATTAGTGGAGCTAAGATTAATTTGTTTAGAACATTAAACCAAAATGTATTATCTAATTTGTATTTCATTAGCAGTGAATGAAACAAACACATTTACCATATGGCAGCAGTTAAAAAAAATAGGATTTATAAAATTGCTAAAATAACATGCTTTTAAAAGGTGAAAAAATATTTTAACTGCACCAAGGCATAAGTAAAAAATATTTTCCCAAATAATACTATGTAATATTAAAGTCATTCCTTAAAATACTAAACATGTAGTAGCTTTAATTTTGCACTAAAAATGCTTTCCTGTCTCTTGACAAAACTGTGATTTTTTTTTCCCAATATTAAAATTAAAATAAATCAGAAATGAACCCAATTAAAATATCATATTTAAGAATACCTATTCATATTCTTCAAAACAGATGGCCAAAGAAGTGTTTACAATGGACACAGGAGAAATACTGAAAAATTACTGAACCTTTGAAAAATGAAGCTGGATTCTAAATGAACTTCCTTAAGGAAATGTTAAAATGCAGCAATCTTTTTACGTTCATAGGAATTTTTCCATTACTTCCATTTTCAAAACAAGGGAAAATTGTACACAGCAACAGGGGTTTTGGCTGGTTTAGGGAGGTTTGATTTTTTTTTTTTTTTTATTTTTCCATCTCTTGTTACTAAGATTCAAGGGCCAATTCTATAATAAGATTGGTAATTACTGGTGAAAGAATCTGCAACACTAATAATGCAGAATTTATTTAACTACAAGAAAACATAAACATAGGTCATGCTGTGCAGAACACAGATGCAAACCCTGTGAGTTGTTCTATAAAAGATATAGAAAAAAATCTTCCCAAACTTACCCTCACAGAAGATCCAGAATATTTATGCTAAGTTGATTCATCAATATTGCCTTTATAATTTATTGTAATGCTAATAAGAAGCCAACAGAAATAAAAAATAAATTTAACATCATAATAGGCTATTTTTTTAGAACTGCCTTCTTGCTAATTTAGAGAGGATGCCATGCAATTTTAACATCTTTTATCAATGCTTATGGAAACCCAAGACTACTTTTGTCTACAAATGCTCAGCCTTCTCCAGATGGCTACCTCAAAAGCTAATGTAATTACCAGATGTCTTACAGTAAACCAAAGAAGCTGAGACTTCCCCAAGCATGAAACCAGCCAAATGCTATACACTGCTAAATTCTGGAAACACAAATCCTGAATCAAATCTGGCATTCCTACACTATGCTTTTTTGCTTTCAAGCCTAAATGAAGCAAAAGTGGAAGGCAGCATGTCACATGAGTGTGACCTTTTATAAACATGAGAAATGGTTCTTGACTTAAAGCATAAAAGCTCTACTGACATTACAGGAAACAGAAAATATAACAGATTCCTTATATTATTGAGCAATCTATTAATTCTCCCTCTCAATATTTTTGTAGAAATTCCTAGAGCAATCTGAATGTTGAGCAGATAAATGAGATTGAATAACATTTTATCTTCACATTCCATCTCATCTATTAAAGTATTCTATTAACAAACTCAAAAATTCCAATAAGCATGATTCATCAAAATTATTTTCTGACTTTTAAGCAGACTGAGATTACGATTAAATTAACAGAGTAGCTTGGCTGTTTGAAGTCTACTGCAATGTTCTACAGTGTACACACAAGGACAGTTACTTGGAGAGGAGTTGCGACCCACAAGGCTGGATTACTGAAGGTGACTTGAATCACTAACATAATGTATTAACGCTCTCCAAAGGGCGAGCATCACTTTTCATACACTGGTAATCCATCACTGTTAGCAAACAATCTGTACAAGCTACTCCTCTCATATAGGTACTTACTATGTTAAGACTTAGTAGCAACTGGAATATTATTTTTTTCCACAATAACCTTAATTAGCACATAGGATATTTACAATAAACATAAATTGTGAGATTTCTTTTTTAAAAATACTCACACTGGCTAAATTCATACATAGCTGAACTCATATCAGCCAAACATTTCCCTTTAGCTACAGTATAACAGATCCAGTTTAAAGATTAAAAGACAAAAAAAAAGAGAAATGGAGTAAAGCACAATAATGTATTATATAATCAAACTATGTGACAATTTCATCAAAGCATCAACCAGAATCCCTTACCTGAGGGATCCAAAAGTTTGTGAAATGACAGCAGTACACATCCACCACCACCTATCATTGAAATAGCTGCTATTGCTATTTGAAAAGAAAGCCAGTAAGATTTGGCTGTAATTGGCTACAATTACAGTAGCCAAATTTTTATACAGTCTTACCCAGAGGCTGCAGAATCTCCATCCCTGGACTTACTCAAAGATGAACAGCCAAGACTCTGCACAGCCTGATCTAAGTTGGCGCTGTTCCCATAGCTCAAGAGAGACATGAGTGGAAGTTTGTAGCACTGACTTCCAGAGGACCCATATAACCTAAATAGGTCTAGGTTTCTATTATGACAATTACATACAAATCTTATTGGTTTCCTTTTCAAATAGCAATAACAACTTTTTTAAACATATCATAGGTTCTACAATGAAAAAAAATGCAATGAAATTTCCCTCACTCTGCAGAATTATAGTTGTTCTTTCTCAGAAACTGAACAATAATATATTGTATTACATTTAATATTTTTATTAGACCTAACAATAAGGCTGATTACCAGAATGGCATTTTTTGTTTTAAAAACTCTGTTACCAAGAATTTGTTGCTTTAAATGTTCATTAACCAAGTTCAGGAAGTCTATTTATAGGCATTATAATTATACATTTCTTTTAATATACAATCATTTGCTTCAATAAGTAATTGAAATATAAACACCAATATTGATATAAGCATAAAATGAATGAAAAAGTCATACCACAAGCAGTTAATCTTTGAAGTAAAATACAGTTTTAAAAATATTTTATGCAAATATTTTGCTACCTTATATACAGTAGCATCCCCTTATATATTTCATATTCATTTACGTTTTTAAAAATACATTTACAAGTTTCATATTCATTTACATTTATAGTGCAATATTACACAAACATTGTAATGTTTACATTGTAATGTTTCTGTAATATTACATAAACAATGTAATGTTTCCTCTCTTAGTTTTTGATCATTAAAAATACTTTAACAACCTAAAAATGCACAAAGAGCATTATCAAATATTCAGGCAGTGAATATGTGCAGGCTAACCCAAAATCTACTATGGTAAGCAGTGGGACAAAACAACCACATAGTATGTGTAGTGAAAAGATGGAATTAATCTTTCCAAGCAGATTACCAAATATTAAGGTACACTAGAAATATATTTTCTATCTCATCACTGACAGGCTAATGTTGCAAATATATGCCTGGTTCTGCTTGGCAACATTTTGTTAATACTCTGTTCATTAATTTAACAAACTATCAAGAGAGTATGTTTAGAACGGGCAAGCATTCTCTCTTGCATTTCATTTAATTAAACTCTGTTCTAGCAGTATGACAGTCAGCATTTCATGAAGGGAATTATTTTAAGGATGAAGGTAGAAAATATTTCAAAATGCCCTGCTAAAACATGAAAGCATAATCTAAAATTACCCCTGCACACACAGTAATTTATCTATAATATTAAAGATGTTATTTCCAGAGTTCATAATTAATTGGATTCCACAGAGAAATTATTCAGGCATTCCAGATAGCAAAATGATGCACAAAGGCACAAAACATAGTGCCGAAGGACAACCATAAACAACCACTGTGACTTGCCCGAATTACAACAATCATTGAGCTTAATATGAAATGAATACTGGCTGCCTTTTGTATGTGGTCATTACTCTGCTGCAAAGAAATTGCCATTGAATTTTGATTATATTGTCTTAATAAAAAGTAATGAAAGTGGCTCATGCTCTAGTGGATTTCTTTTAAATGATACACGACAGTGATATTGCAAAGGCCAGTGTGCCACAAATTATGACACCTCATCTGAGGAAGGCGACGTTACCCCATCACTGTAGGCAACTGCAGTGATGGCTTGACTTCTTGCAAACATTTTAACAAAACCCTTTCAGTGAAACACCAGTTAGAAATCAGCTTTTAAGACTTACCATCGATCCGACTAACAAGTTCTTCCAACATTTTCACTTTCTTCTGAATTCCTGGCTGTGCAAATGTGTAGTTATCCTGAAGAAGAGACCATATAGAAGTTTGTGGAGAGAAAAAAACTCAAGCAAAACTAAATAAGCCTTCTTTTCCTTCAATTATGTATCTCAGTCCATGTGTTTTTCTATGTTTTCTTAAGATGTTTGTGTCTTCTTTTTATGTTTCCTAGGACTGCTTCTACAGTTAAGTAGTAAATCATCACATTGTATAGCCCTGCTTCGAGTCCTCACCCCTAACAGTAAACTCTACAGCTATTACTGCACCAATTGTTCTCTACTTGCTAATTTAGTGTCCCTGAATCTACAGCTTTACTGTAGAAGTCCAAGTAGTTTTAAAAAGTTGTCATCCTAAATGCCAAATGTGCCATGCTAGAGATTTTTTTAAGGTAAACTTTATCTCATAAATTTACAATTCTATGACAAATAATGTAGGAAATACAAAAATTTAGACCTGAATCAGTCACAGAGTAAGAATTTGATCTTCAGAAGTTCAGAACAATACCTTCCAGCAGCACACGAAATCAAAAGACTATTTTAATGGAATCATGACTGTTCTGAACCCAAGGTTACAGTTAATATCATGAACCAAAGTCTAACACACAAGCCATATAGTTAAAATGGCAGGATATTTGCATGTGTTTGTTTGAATGTATTGAATCTAACTGGATTTTTTACTTTTGGATTGCAACTCTACAATATACACTAGAGTTTGAAATAATGAGAAGGAGAAAGACACCTCCACTTGAGCCCCAAAGTGATCAATCTTTTTAAATAAAAGACATTATTTAAAATACACAGCAGTATTTCCAAATATTTGATGGACAATCCCTCCAACTCTACTCATTCTGTTATGGTTTTCTACATGGGAAGATTCAAGAAAAGAAACTGATTTATATTTTAAAAGAAAGTTTCTATGTAAAATTGTTCTTGTGCAACTGCTACTTAAACAGAAAACCAGGGGAAACAATTTTTCATCTCCACTGCTATTACTTGAATAATTCCTTTATGAAAATCAATTGATGAACTGAGTAAATATCCCCAAACTAATCCTTAAAAAATTTTTCACTGATGTTAGAATCTTTTCTTGACTTGATTTCAAATTTTAACTTGGCTTTAAAAGGGATGAACATTAGTTCATTTTTATGTATCTTGAGAAATTTTTGGTTGGTTGGTTGGTATTGTTCATTTTAAAAAAGGCCATATTGACTTTCTTGACTATATTTACATATTTGTTTTGTTTGATTGTTTGCTTTATTTGCTTTTCTTATTTTATTTGCTATTTAATGTTAAAATCTCTTTAGGAAATAACATATCTCTTCTCCTACAGAAAGTACTCTAACAATGAAAACTGTATTGCAAATGCTTATCTACTGTTCTATTAATTTATCTAAAGGTAACTGGTATTTCTAAAAGTACTGTACTCAAATTACAGCAATATGGTACTCAATTATTTAATCTATAACAGAGTTACTGAAAGCTAACACAAAGTTAAAATACTACTACTTGGATCATTAGGCTCTCCTCAGGTAGTGCAATTCCAAACAGTGATCTATGAATCTGAAAGTGTTTTCTTTCTCAAAGTATCATTTATTCCATACATACCTGGAAATGCAACCCAAAACTTTGAGGTTTGGGTTTGAAAACATGTAAGTTTGCTCTTCACTACATTTGATCTTTTGCCTATTCATTTATTTTTCTGTTCGTTATTTCAGCTGCACATGAGCACAGCTGGGATTCACTCTTCTACTAGTGCTGACTCATCTACCCAAAAAGATCTTCACTGGCTCCCGCAGTCCTCTCTTCTAATTAAACTCTGCTGTACACATTCCCTCCTATGATACTTCTAATTGACTTTCTGGAGTTTTCAAAACTGCGAGAAGGACTTTGTTATCTACTATTCTTGCTCCTTTTGTGCTTCTAGGTTGGGGAAAAAGCTAGTAACACAGTTAAACAAGAAAACGTGGCAATCCTGGGAAATTCATGATTTATTGCTCAGGGCAATATAGAAGTACAGTGGTTAAGATTGTAATTCCTGTATCATACAATTTAATCGACAATATCAGCTTCAAAACTTGACTCAACTTTAATTCCAACTCCTCTACCTCCTCCCCGCCAAGAGGCAAATGGGGATGGGAATTGGGGGCTGTGGTCAGTTCATCACATTACATCTCTGCTGTTCCCCATGGGCCGTACGTCTTGCAAGAAAGCCTGCTCCTGTGTGGGCTCCTCTCCATGGGCTGCAGCTTCCACCAAGGCATCTCCACCTGCTCCAGTGTGGGGTTCTCCCCAGGCTGCAGGTAGATATTTGCTCCCCTGTGAATCTCCACTGCCTGCAGGGGGACAGCCTGCCTCACCACGGTCTGCACCATGGGCTGCAGGGGAATCTCAGTGCTTGGAGCACCTCCTCCCCTCCTTCTTCATAACCTTGGTGTTTGCAGAGCCGTTTCTCTTTTTCTCACTCCTCTCTCACAGCTGCTGCACAGTGGCCTTTTACCCTTTCTTCAATATGTTACCACAGGTTTACCACTAGCATTGCCAGCGGTCTCAGCTTTGGATAGATCTGTCTCGCAGCTGGCTGGAACTGGCTCTGTCTTGACACTGGGCCTCTTCTCACAGAAGACATTCATGCAGCGCCCCTGCTACCAAAACTTGCCATTAAACCAAATACAAGTTCTCCACTAACTTCTAAAGAAAAAGGTATTCCAGTATTCAGCTCCCGTACCTATTCCCCTCCCCAGCTGTGGGTCCTCACAGAATTTCATTATTCATCCTGCAAATTTTTATTATATTTCCTCATTTATTCCTTGCATAACTTTGACCATCTATACTAAGCTAAAGAAAAACTCTGAAAAAGGCATAAGTAACTGAGAACAGGATTGTCTTGCCTCAAGAGATCTTCTACAGTTAACATAGAACACCTTATATTTCTAACCACTGCTCTTGAGACTTCCTAACAAGCATTCACATATGACAGAGTATGCATAAGTACACAGCAGAATCCATGATAAACATACAGAGTATGCATAAGTACACAGCAGAATCCATGATAAACATAAAATATTCAGGCATTGGTGTGCAAAATCTAAATTCCTTGACATTCTGCTCAGATAGGTTCCAACATACCTTCAGTGAACTATGCTAACCTACTTCACAGCTGAATGGTTGTAATAACTAGTTCAGAATCCAGACACATAATTAGTTTCACCTTATACAGAAGGTTAAGACTTGATAATGTCACAAGGGCTCAAAACTTGCTTCAGCCTCAAATCTTTGTTATTGGTCTGTATCTATTCTGCAGAGGCTAGTACACCCGCCCTGCAATTACAATTAGGTCTGTCAGGACTTCTCAAAAACATAATCATTATAATTTAAAATAAAATAATTCAATTATAGCCTTCACTAAACTAGGAAAAAACGTAATAGCTAATCCCTTTTTTTAGTTATTTTTTAAGGTTAGAGAAATTCTAAATGGAAGAAACATGATTAGAAAGTGAAAACAAATTGAAAAATACACTGAACAGATTTAACTGGGACTATCTTCCCACACTCACATAAAGAAAGGGACAGACAGGAGAGGGAGACTTTGCAGACTTTTACCTAAACAATATCCCCCATCTTTGTCTTTAAATAGGCAATGACAACATAATTTTAAGAGAAGAAGAAAGCTGAAAAGGGAAGGGAAACAACCTTTCATGTCACCAGGGCAGGAGAAATAAAGCCAGATAAATGTAAAAGAAAAAATACTGTTAATATTCTGATGACTGCAGCCAAGCATGAGTATATGCACAGCGCTGCTTACCTTTCCAGGTCACATATGCTGTTCACTCACAACGTACTAATCAAAATATCAGAACCATTTACAGAAGCAGATAGAAAGTTCTGACACAAAGTCTTCATGCATTGTTTGTTTGGTTTTAGTAAGATTTTATCAGTCAGATCAGAGTTTTTAAATATAAAGGATACATTAAGCAATATGTATACAGCATACCTAGATGTCTGTTTTCTCTACTGATATATATTTAAGCATTCCTATAAATCAATTTAAGTATGTTCAAGTGTATTATTACTGAAATACAACTGAAAGGAAAAAAAGCTTTCTGAAGTTGTATATTTATCTCATCATATCAGAAAGCAATCTTCTCAATTTTATTTTTTAAACTCATTTAACTACTTCCTTCACATATTTTTGAATCTTCTAAGCAAACTGCTATTAAAAATCTTGGTCTATCTTGCTCTCAAATTTACCAAAAAAGGTGGGGGCAGGAGGGAGAGAAGCATGACACTTAGATGATGATGGCCAACATATATATTACTCCTATCAATGGTAGGCTCAGTTTACCCAAAATGTTTTTTGAAGCTGGAGATTACAACATAAATTCAACCTTAAATAGAGTATAGGAGAGAGAAAGTACACATGCACAAGAACAAACACGCAAGTGTGCTGGAGTACACTGTTTGCACATATTCCATACCATGTTCCATAATTACTACAAGATATTTTAAAAGACCTTTCAACCTTTGTAACTGTTAAGCCTGACTTTTGAAAACTAAATTTCCTAAGCAGTAGGAAAGAGATTACAAGGCGTTGCAGTCCAGAGTTTTCCATACAGAAAACAGTAACTTATTTATTCCTAAACAAACAGGATGGAAAGAGCCACATCTTATTAAAAAGTAGGTACCAATTCTCATGTTAAAATAGTATCCAGAGTTTCAGAACCGAAGACCAAATCTTCTACTAAGCTATGTAATCAAAACCTCAGTTTTACACAAGTGGATATATTATAAATTACAGAAACTGCTAAAGTAGCAATAATAGAAGTGCTCAGGGTATAGTTTCGGATTATGGTGTATGCTAGAAACAACTGAAAGAGCGAGAAATCATAAATCATGCACACTACATTCCCAAAAGCTGATGCTATAAATTCGAGGTGCAACATAAAATATTTTTATTCTGAAGCATACTGATAGCACAGTATATTTAATCTAAAACCCAGAAAACAATGCTTCTTACATAAATGTTCA